ACATGAACGTTTGAAATTCGAGTTATAAACCCTGATGCGTGGAATAAAAGCAGTATATTTTGTTCCACAATAAAAAAGACACCGACTTCGATAATGGCAAGACCAGGTGTTTTGATTTTAAAATTAAACTGCTGAATTTCTTCTTTTCCCAACTCTTAATCCCAGCACTATTTGGAGTCGGGTCTTTCTGTATAGCCGCGCCAGGTTCTGGGTTGATATGGGAGATAAGTTCTATGCTTTCATCTCCTTCTAGATATTAGATAAATCTAAACTACTGAATTGATTTCGATAAAAATTTTATTGAACTAATCTGACAGTATATCATATCCGATAAAAAAAAATTCCAAACCCTTTTAAAAATAGTTAAGTTCTGAGATTATAAACATAAAAAGCAACTGAATTGAGAATGTTCTCCTTTTCTGAAGTCGGTTGATGAGCATTTACCGATATCGATTGCTATTCAACACTTAGATTTGTAAATCGATAGTGTTCACCCCGAATACAATCAGCAGCTTGCTGTCCGACTCGACCCATTGAATCTGCGTAGAGATGTTGCATCTCTGTGCATTTTCCACCGAATTTTATGGGAGTGCTCTGAGAAATTATTCGGATTGATACCTGCTGTTGATTTTCACCACTATATAACCCGCCACAAACTAAATTTCTTCCCACTATCTGGATGAGTGGCGGTCCTCTACCGTGTGTGTTTCAAGGCATTTTCTTTCACGCACAACCACTCTTTGGAATCAACTTCCAGCAGCAGTACTTTCGAACCGATATGACATCATAACCTTCAAGAAAAGAGCATATTCCTTTTTAAAAGCACCTGCGATAACTTCTGGTGTTACGGGTGATCATGGGCGGCGGTGGTCACTTAATATCAGGTGAGCCGCATGTTTGTTTGCCCCCTGTGTTAAAAAAAAGAAAAATAGAATAAATTAAATATAATTCGGTTTATCGATAGAAACGATTGATTTATCGATGATATCGAGTAACCCATTAATAGTTATAAAATTAATAATAAAATCAGTAAGAAAATTTATGCAATTTAATGAAATATTGTAAAAAAAAAAATTAATCTAACATTTTTATATTTGTCACTTTCATAGTTTTATTCTCTTTATTTCTCATTACTACAATTAAGTAGAATTCTTAACCTGTACAGAAAATCTTCAAAATATTTATGTATTGTAGATGAGTCATTGTATGTAGTTAACTGTTATGAACCAAAATAACATAATAAAAGTATGCTGTGTTTTGGTTTGAAGTATGAGATGTGGTTGTGAAGTTATCGAGCAAGTCACATATACTTGTATACCGTGACGTTCTCGGTGCTAAACATATTTAGAGGTAACAGTCAATACTTTCTATCAATACGGCATAAAAGAGTAAGTCTCACTCATTGCCGCAATATAAAAATATAAAATAAACCATTAAGTACGCCGCCCAACACAAGCTCAGGCCTACGTGATCAGAAATTTTAACGAATAGTTGTATATGATACTGCCGGTGAGGTTTTATTAATATTGTTTGCATGGGATATGTAAATGTGGGCACTTTTGAATCCGTAATACGAGTTTAGATAACAAATCCCGCTAATAGGCAATGTAAACAAGTAAAACAACAAGATACATAGGTATAATTATTTTACGAAACGAGTCTATAGGTTATACGACTGGGTATTGAAATATATAATTATTGGACTATACTGCCGAAAGGTTAGCTATTTCCGAAAACAAAAATTGCCACTGTCACACAAGATGGGGTAAATACCCTATAAAATTTAGCAATAATTTGAAAATACCTACATATTTTTCAACAATTGTTTCTACTTCAATCGGATGCATTTTTTTAGGATGAGTATCGATTTTTCAGGATGCTTTACGTAGTAAACGACAAACAGGAAGTTCATATAAATTTTGTTATACATACGATTACAAATACGATTTCATTTGTGTCGAAAAACAGCAAACTGAATTTGTTTGTTAAATAATCGTAGTAAATAAATACTATGAGACAAATTACGTATCTAATATATCATATATATATATATATATATATATATATATATATATATATATATATATATATATATAATTATTTTCACATTTATTATATTATTAATATGATTTATATTATATTTCTATATTATTCAAAACATAACTAAATATGTATTTATAAAATACAAGCTTAAACTTTTACATACTATTCTGTAACTTCTAATGTGCTTGATGGGCGCCAGCTTGATTACCATTCTGAGTTGCACAAAAAATATGGTAATATTGTTTTACTCATGTGATAAAAGGACGGAAATATTTTTATAAAATATCCTATGTGCTCATGAAGGATATTTTATGGTCTGATGATGATGTGATATTAACTGAGCGTGGTCTCCCTTGCTCCCTTGCTGATTTCATATTCCCTATTACATTTATAACTGAAATGTGACACAGAAAGTTCAGTAGATTTTTGATAAGATATTTTAAAGATAATAATGAAATGGTAACTGCCTACACTATCGGTATACTTACAGATCTGTCTAATTGAAATTGTATCAAAATTGTCATAGAGAGAAGAATAGAGAAAAGGACAGAAAATACTTTTAACTTTGTTTTGAAACATCGAATTAGCAATGAAGAGGTCCTGCTTAGGGTTAAGGAAAAAAGACAAATTATTAGAACTATTGAGGACAGAAGGGGAAAAATGTTGGGACACTTAATACGACACAACGAACTTATGAACACTATAATAGAAGGTAAGAGAGAAGAAAGGAAGGGAAGAGGGAGACCGAGACACTGTTACATCAGGCAGATCACGGAGAGTTGGTGTCGTGTCGTATCAAGAGATGAAGAGACTCGCTGAAAATCGTAGTGAGTACCAAGAGCTCCACCGACAAGAGCGCAGCTCTTAAATAGAATAGATAGATTGAACATAATCCGGTCACGCGGCGGACGTCGCAAAGAAAAGCTAGTATAGAATAATGCGAAAATCATATACCTCTGGTCACGACAATGGGAGAATTCAAACCCGCCCGTTTCGAAATTTTTAACTACTCATTAGCATAATTATTGGAATAAGTCTATCTTATTATTATCTATTTTCTAATATATTAAATATACATACATCTGTTTTGTAAAAAACAAGCATTTGATATAGACATAAAATTAATTTTATAAAAATAAATTTATAGAGACATCTATTCGCAGATTTGTGAACTATTTTCTGAGTATTAGACTTTAGATGATGCTTTTTAGTACCTTATGTGCTGTAACAAGGTATTTCCAACATGCTAGTACAGATGATGTTATATACATACGAATAATTTAGACATTAGAAAAAAAATATTTTGTTGTTTGATAAACTTTTTTGATTAAATGACATAGTTAATAAATGAGAATATACGGTATGTATGTATGAGTATATATATATATATTTCGAAAATTTTTTATCATTGTGATAATATATCTTTTATATATATTTTTTATCATTGTGATAATAAATCTTTTATATATATATATATAATATATATATATATATATAGATAAGATAAAAATGGCTCGTGTATAAATATTTTAATTATACTGTTTGCACTGTTTACTCTCGTCTTAGTTTTAACGATAGTATTAATTTGAATATTGAATCTATTTATACCTATTTGATAAAAATATGATGAGTTCTTGAATAAACGTAAATATAATGATTTCTATAAATTTTTCCTCATATAAAAATATATTTAAAAAGCAATCAAATATTTAAAACAAAAGTTTGAAACGACATCTGTTTAACGATATTTGTTTTAGGCTGAACAAATTCCGGATTTCAGTGAAGTCTACTTATTAAGCGTCTTCTGTTGGAACGATGTAATTTGTTTTTATCAACTAAATTTGTTGTACGTTGGTCGGGAAGAATTTATCCTTAAAGTGCACAGATGGCGCAGAAAAATAATTTTAATTATTTTAATTATTTGTATCTATATAGGATGGACAAGGATAAAGGTTATTTTTTTTATTAATCTTTCAGACCAATGTATAAAAAAATCCTTTTAGAAAAAAATCCATATCAGATTACAACTGATGGAGTTACAAGATAATAAACATATAAAAAATACAACCTAATTGAAAACCTCCATCATTTTGCAATCGGGTAATAAGAACTTTTACAAACGCGCATACGGCAAACGAGCATACGGCTCACCTCATGGTAGGTGACTACCGCCATCCATGAGCATCTGTAACACCAGAAGCTTTACAGATTCATTGCCGGCCTTTTAAAAAGAAAAATGCTTTTTTCTTAAAGATTACGATGTGATCTACCCTTTTTATTTATTCATAAATTGCTAACTACACTTACAGTTTTCCAAAACTTATAGTGAGCCACAGGTTCATTTTACAAACTTATAAATTTTAAACAACATTTAAAAATCTATTTAATTTGTTAATAAAAATATCAATATCTGACTGCTGAGCAATCAGAGAATTGACCAGAGAAATAGACTGATAAGTGAAATCAAACTGAGCAGTACAGGTGCGAACCGGCGGTGCCGATAGTGATCGACATGGACGCAATCTCATGCATCGTTGGGGTGCGTACAAAGAATAACGGCTGAGAGTTGCAGGATTGTCTATTCTGCCGTTGATCAACATATCTTTTGCACTTTCGCCTTACCTCGAGCGTTTCTATACCTACCCCTCCGGATACAAACAGAGATGAGTACTAATAAGGATATCAACCGTAAAGTTTATTATATACATATATATTTATTATATATACATTTATTATATATAAAACGTGCAAATTTAATCTGAACTCTCTGTAACATTATATTTCGTTTCATGAGGGCTCCAAATAATACTCTTATATACTCTCCGAATATATTTTCTACTCTACCAGATATTCGGTATTCGTCCGACCATTTTTGATGTTCTGACTGGATATCTAGTTATGTTGATGGTCAAGCATTGTTTATCACAATGATAAAAAATGTTCGAAATAAAAAAAAATTGGATGATCATAATAATTTTATTTTCCACCACAATCTATTAGAATATAATAACTTTGCAACAACATTATGTTAATAAACTTAATTTTTGGGAAGTAAAATCTAAATTGCAAATTGGGCAGTGCGCTGTTAGTGTCTTATACTATGAGAATATAATAATTATTAATAAAAACTAATAAAAATTAAATGAAGCATAACTCTCTCATCTCAATAAAGAAACTTTGATCTTCCTTCCGTACGTCCTTGATGAGGAAGTCTATTATGGGCAAACGATTAACGGTATCGACTAGTTTTATGTCAGTGTATTTCCATTCCATTGATCCAACAGATTCCTAGAAAAAAAACGTTTATATATATTTAAAATGCATTACTGTTAAAGCTCGAACATTGATAAATCTTGGAATTTATCAATATAAGTTGGTGATTTTATAAATGTTTTGTTTCAAAATTTCCTTAAAATTAATAAACGGATGTCTATTTTAATATTAATAAAAGTATGTCTATTTTTGTTTTTATATTTATCACATTTCTGATGTAACTGTAGTAAAATTTTAGATTTACCGCAAGTTTTACAGTAATAGACATAATATTTATACACGTTTAGGGCGCGGTGTTCGTGATCAGAAAATTTGATTAGGTTTGGTTTGGTGAAAACCTATAAAATTCTTTTATAAAATACTTACATTGGCCAACTCTTGTTGGTAAGTCCTATAATTTATTAATTAAACCTAAAATTTATAAATTTACCGGCTTTTATATTAATGTATACATTAAAATACAAAAGAAATAGAATTTAGGTATACCAATAAAAGTTTGAGGACCTCAATTCCATTTTCGTGTCTATGTTAAGTGATAAGTTTGTTAGTTTGAACTGATTTTAATTTTATAAACGAAAAGTCTTACTTCCCAATTGATATTTTAACAAGATTTAAATATATTATATAGCAAAATTATTAATAAAATGACAATAATATTCAAAATCAATGATTATTTAAAAAAAAACATACCGTACAACTATCATCATGAAGTTTATAATGAAAAGGAGAGTTCTCTGTTGGAGAAGGTCCGATTAATTTATCATTCCATGTTAATAAACTCAAGGAATTCTCTGTCTTATTATTCGGCGCCACAGCCGAATTTTTACAATGATATCTTATAGTTTGTGTCACATATGTCGATCGACTATGAAGCCATAGCAGTTGTTGCATTGTTATCTGAAAATAAAAACAATATTATAATTTCATTATCTTCACTAGTAATATACCACGGAATGTCATGTATGTACTTACATTGTAATAATGAGTTATTGGCGAATATGGTAAATATTCGCTTAGCCAAAATGATTTGTTGTTCTCTTTATAATTTACAGCAAGAACGGGTATCATTTTACTGTCTGTTTTATCTAACATTAGACATGTTTTTCTATCCTCTTTGCAAACAACATGAAATGGATCCTCGGGCATCACCGATAGAATAGTATCTGTAAAAATAGTAATGATTATTAAATTGCCTATTTTTCATGTCAAATTTATTTCATATCATGAAGGAAAGAAGAAAAGCTATATCAGTTACACCTCAACAATGAAAAGTTGTTGAGGTGTTAATTAATATGTTATATAATTCGTTATTATTTATATATTTTTTTAATTTAGTATATACTATGTATAGTTATTTATGTATATATGTATTGTATGTGATTTACGTGCGTATTTTTTTTGTAAGTATATTATTCTATGTGTATTTATTTATCATAAATTGTTATCACTTAAAATATTTATTTAGTTAACTATTTTTTAAAATCTGTGCACTGCCATTTTCTCTCTCTGTTTGGTGTGACGGTTGACTGGTAGAGAATGCCATCAGGCATTAAGTCTGCCCTGTAGACATTTTTCAATGTGTGCAAAAGTATAAATAAATAAATCAGTTGCTCCATCTACTTTCGCCGTCTTGGCATATTTTGTGTAAAATTAAATACTAAAGTAGGTAGATATTATATGAATCTTTATATAATGTAATAACACCTTAGACACAATATCTTCTTTACCTTTAGGGAGACTAATTAGGCTCTTGCATGTCTGCGTATATACAGTTTCCGTTTTTCCTTCAGCTTCATCTGTAAATATTTATATAGAAATAAATGTCCGTAAAAATATGTAAACGTATTATTTTACGCAATATACAATGGTATGAAATATATAACAGTGTAATTAATGAGTTTTGATTACATATTGTATAAGCAGAACTTCCTAACTGTAATCTTATTGATTAAATTTAACATTAAAACCACGGAATAAATAAATACTCGTACTTTAAAATGTTCCTTATTTGTATTTATCCTTATTTATATATATATTCGATTCTCAATTTGATTGTATTCTTTTTTTAACTTTGTCTCATTGAAATTTAATCAAAATGAATAAGTAACCAATTTTTATTTAAAACTAAATTAAATTAAAACAACTGGTTTTGATGACTGAAGATGGTTTTTTTTATGGAACAAAATCTATTATTAAGAGAATATTCTAACAGTACAACTGAAACCATAAAAAAGTTAGATATAAATTAGAATGTCAAACAAACTGATAGCCCTTTTGATGAAAAATGGTAATCGTTGACTATAGGATAACATTTTTTTCACGTTTTTCGAAACATTACTTATTAAGAAAACTATTCAATTTCATTGATAGGATTATATTATATATATATATATCTGTACACTACTTAATATATTGTATGTGTGTATGTATGTGTATGTGTATTGTGTATGTAAATTTACTAACATTAGTTTTTAAGAATATTGTTACTAATAAATATTTAACGGCCCAAAAAGTCTGAAATAAAAAATTATTATTAATTATTATTATTATTACCATCCTCCAGATCATCTGGTATGGAGCAAGTTTTTACACAGACTCCTGGTACTCCAGGAAGGCCAGTAAGTCCCTGTAAAGATTTTATTAATTAATATATTTACATAATACAGAAAATTTTAAACCTATGTATCAAGCATTAGATAAAGGTATTTTTATTTTATTTATAATAAATGTAAACTTAATTTTAATGGCAACACTTTAATGTTTTTAATAATATTATAAATATGAAGAGAAACACAATTATATGCTATAATTTACTAAAAATTGTAAAGATTTATGTAGAAAGGAAATAAATTATGTCAAATGTTACTATAAATTAATATAAAACATTTTAAAATACCTATCGTATTTACGTATCAAACATTTTGAATTACATACAAAACTTATGTTAATTTATTTATGCATAAAATTCAATATTCTCTTAAAATGTACCTTTTCACCGTCTTTTCCATTTCTGCCTGATTCCTGAAATATAAATATGTTACTGCTATATTAAAGTCTAGGTGACTATCAACTTTGTGCTTAGATTTTGCATCAGGCCCCAAAACTAACTTAAGGGTTTAAAAGAAATACAGAAATACATAATTAAATAAGAAATACAGAAAGATTGTTTATACTTATATATATCCTTACACCCTTACTTATATATAACTTATACTAATCTCATAAATGTAAAAATAACTATCTATCTCTCAAAAGAGACGGCCCGCGTTGGTCTCTGGTCTAGTTGAGGGGCTCCAAACACCTCCATTTTCTCATCCATATTCATACTCTATATATGTTCTTTTAAATTTATTTTAAAATTTACTTGCAAGATTTTAACTAAATAAACATATATATATATATATATATATATATATATATATATATATATATATATATATATATATATATATATATATATATATATATATATATATATATATATGTGTAATAAAAACTAAATAAATACAAATGTGAACTGAATAAAAAGCTTCTAAAATTACATTAACTTCTTAAATTGGGGGTCTCGTTAAGCTTAGCAGCCCCGGGCCTCCGATGGGCTTAGTCCGCTAGTGATGCACCAATATGTAGAAATAAAGTTATGTACTTACACCTTTATCGCCTTTAATTCCCCGTAATCCCTATAAATAAAAAAATAAGTGTTTATAAATAATAATTGCAAAACCGCAAGTATGGTATTTAAGGTAAATCCTTCAGTCTCCATAATTATCGATAAAAACTCATATAATTTTCTAAAATGAAGTGGGTTGAAAAATTGTAAGAACATATTGTTCTAAGATTATATAAATTGAACATCTCCCTACAAATGTTTCGCTAAAAAGCGTCAAGTTATTAATACATGTGTATGTAAATCAGGATGTCAGTATATATAGTTATTCTCTTGTATTATTTGGGAGTTCATATTTTAATAATAAATTGTAAAGTTAAAAACGATATAAAATGCTTACGAATATTAATATTATTAGAAAAACCATCGCACTCCACTCTTGCTGTTTTGGGCATTTTTAAGTATCGATTTTAAAATTGGTGATATAATTGCGTAACATAAACATATTTCACGAAAATAATATGATTGTATTTTTAAATTGTGATATGTTAATATACTTACAAGCGGTCCTATAGGTCCTTGTTCACCCTGAGAACCTTTGTCGCCCTGAAAATATCACATAAATAATCTGTTTATTGTAATTTAGCAAAGTATAACTTTGATGTTTTTTATGTAACTTAACGTAAGCAAAAATGTTGACAGTGCCCCCTTATTAGAAAGTGCTAACTGTCACACTGTCACCAATAAACATAACTTAATACAGCTTAATATTCTTCTTTCAATTACCTTGCAATTACTTATATAGAACAATTTAAATTTTGAAAAGTTATGTAGATATTTTTTTTTCGTTAACTCATCATGAAAGAGACAACTAAACAGATTGAAACAAAACTTTATAATTATTAAAATTTGTCAAGGGAATTATAAGAGTAGACATTTTTTTAAGAACGGGCAGGATATTGTTTAAAACTCCAGGGGGCGTAGCCTTTAAAGACGCCCCCTGAAGAAGACTTTCGGGTGAAGTTGAAACAATTGTTGGAAACCACAAACACATTTAGTTCGTTAGATTCCCCTTGTGTATGTGTTTAGGCATTGTATTAAATAACGAATATACATTTTAACATAGATTGAAACATTTCTAAATTAGCCTATAAGGTACGTCTATCCGAATACAAGGAAGTAAGAAAAACATAATGTTATATTTATTAATTATTTGGTCGTGTGGTCTTGACATGGCCACCCTTTCCTTTCCCGTGGGTATCGTAAGAACCGACTAAGGGAGGGCGAGGGATTTTTTTAATGGATGATAATGGAATGGTAACCCCGCCTGCGCTATCGGTATACGCAGCCGGAACACCAGTGAGGGATGACAGGCGAGGATAAAAGCAGGTCAGTTAGCCCACCGTGACGAATCTAACAATAAATCAATCACGATGGTTTCCAGGGGAAACCACGAAGAGGTAAACCTAATAGAGTATATTGCTAGCAATGGTGCTACTAATCTCCATTACTAACAATCCCTTTTCCCCCCAGAGGGCGAGGGATAGGCAGAAGCCTCCTTCTTAAAACATCTCTAAAGCCTGACTGTGGTTGCCAACCCGCCAGCCAAGCGTAGCAACTACTTGCAAACCCCTCTAAGGAAGAGGCTTATTTTCAGCAGTGGACAGTTAAAGGCTGATATCATGATGATGATGATATTAATTATTAAACGTTTGCATGCATTTATTAATTAATAATTATAGATCTCAAAGTATTTAGTATAATAAATTTACTTACTTTTTTACCTGGTAGTCCATCGCGTCCTGGGTAACCTAGACTACCCTGCACATTTAATGAATTACAAATAAAAATTCATAGCATTGTTATACATAATACAAATAAAACCGTAAATGATTGATAATAAATAATTTACTCCTAATATTATTATAACACGATTAAAACATAGTGCGTTACGAAATTAATTACAAGTATTGCTATTAAATAAAAAAAGTGTACATAAACTATATATTTTTTATTTTGTTATAACTATTATAAATTTTAGATATTTCGACAACAAAACACAGAACACTTATATCTTTTGATTTCATTTCATTATATTAAACAATTGAAACTCGCCTCAACTTTTAATATAATGAAGTTTTACAGTTTATAAAAAAAAAGCCTATGTTAATCTCTATGAATGTAAATTTCTATAAATGAAATAGTTTTTAAAGTCAGTTAAGTATTTTTTGAGTTTATACATTGTAAACAATAAAATCAAATCCTTATCACATAACAATAAAATAAAATCAAATCAATTACTTATTCTGTCTTACCTTATCCGCTTTATCTCCCTTAGGTCCAATATCACCCGAGTCTCCCTAAATGAGAAAGGAATAAATCTCTCAAAATCATCATTTTATTTCATCATGTTGATCTGTTATATAATTGGTTAATAATGTACGTTGATCATCTTCGTCGATTAAGTATAAATAAAAAAAATATTTATTGAAAAATCTATGATAAATATTATTGATAAAAGTGAATAACAACAATTTAAACTTGAAAGATATTTTCTAGTGTCATTGCATCACAACAAAGAGGTTGTAAGTCCAATCATTATTCAAAGTTCTTCAGTTTAAATGAATGATCTAGGAAGTTCAAGAGAAAATCTTGTTGTAAAAATAACATCACCCTTTGTCGTCAATTTATACATTTACCTATATAAATATATAATTTGTTATTGTGTATATGTTGCGGGTTCTCTAAACTGTGCAGATAGAAGAAGAAAACTAGGAATAAGAATCATGGCTTGTACACTCATCATCATATCATGATAATATAAAACCGCCCTCATCCAGAACTAGTAAAACTCATCGACTAATTAAACGTATTCGAAATATAAAATATTTCAAATATGTTGAATTTGTCCAATTAAACATGTTTGAAATATATTTTATATAATTTAAAGAAATAGGTTTTTTTTTTTTAATTAAACTATTATATTGCTCGCAAAGATGACTATAAATAAGTGTCTGTTTATACGAAGCAATTGTAAGCTAATAAAGGCGTAAACAATTGTTTGCTTAACAAAGGCATTTGTTTTATCTTCGAGCTGCGTAAGTATGACCACGTTTCGGATTTCCCTTCACAGCTCAAATGGTTGACCATTCATAACAGCAAAGACTTACATATTTTTTACACACTATTCTCTACCATCATTGATACTTCCTCTCCTACGTATTTAAAAGATAGATTTCAGTTTTTCAAAAACTCCCATACCCGTAATCTACGTTCATCTCACCATCTCCTTCTGATCACACAATTCTAGATTTATGTCAAATTCCTTTACTGTTACCGCTATCAGCCTTTAGAATAAAATCCTTGTAGATCTTGTGACGGTTCGCCTATAGTACAATAGGTTTAATACCATAAGTACATAGAAAAGAAACAGGGGTTCCTATGGGTGACCGCTGCGAAAGCTGAGCTATTTAATATAAACAAACTTTAAAGTCAAGGTTCACAATAGTATACAGAGAAGACGTTACCATATATGAAATATTGACACAGAAGGGAAACTCCTTTGTAGTGTTTCCAAAGTGTAGTGGACGTCACAAGAAAATTAAATAAATTAAACAAAAATATATTATATTTTATATTAACCAAATTATAGTTTACCTTTTTCTCATCAGGTGTAAAAAGGATGCATACAACACAGTTTAATAAGGTTTATGAGAGCCTTTAAAGTTTTATAAATTCGATAATCAATTTAATAGAAATACCAAAATACGTTAACATATAATTAAATTGAATTTAAAGAAAAGTTCAGTTCGAATAATGGGCTAAATCCGATTATTGAAATATCTACTCTTCGGTGAGATAATCTATGACGATACTAGATGAAGAGAAAGAAAAAAAAAAGTAGGAAAGAAAAAAAGAGACGGCATATCGGCGGGGGCGCGGGAGTCGAATTGTAGGAATTGCGCAATAAAAAAAAAAAAAAGAGAAAAAAAAATCGCGCGGGAGTCGGTTTTTAGGAATTGCGCAGTAAAGAAGAAAAGAAAAAAGAAACAAAAAAAATGGCGCGGGTGTCGTGTTTAAGGAACTGCGCAATAAAATAAAAAAATAACTAGGATATAGATCTAGGAGGGACTGGTTCGATGAAGGGGTTTGAGATCTTAGTGTATCACTATGGATTAAGTGTGTGAAATTAATCAATAGAAGACTGGAGAATCCGGTGAGCTTGTTCCATTTATTACTACGTAGTTAGATTTTTGACTGTGATCACAGGCAAAGTCTATACTTAATATTTTTCCCAATAACTATTAAAATACGTATTTAGTAGAGTCCATATACCTTTAGGTAATGCGTATATCGTTAAATGCAATCACATTTGAACAAAGTTTACATCAATATAATTTACGTACTTACGTTATTCTACTCATATACAAAATCCAATTATATGGTCGTTTGATAGAACTTCATCAATTTGATTCAATGTTCTAATTGTCCAGTTTTGTAAAATACTTATTGAATCAACTATTGAACTATTACAATACTAACTAGTTTCATATCTAGTTATTATAAAGTATTTATTTATTGAGGATAATAGACTAAAGTGACTATGGTCTGGTCTCATTGTTGGGGAAACAGCCATTGATGAGAGAGAGGGGTTATTGAGTGGCGACCCTGTAAATGCAAGTGCGGTGTGGGCTACCTCCATTGTTTGGAGTGACTGTTTTATGTGTATTGTGGGGCCGTTCCTTGTGTCAGTCGGTGGAAATTGCCTGTGTTCAGTCGTGGGTTGGTGATGGTTGGGACGATGATGATGATGAAATATTTGTATTTATTACACTACTACAGTGTTGGTTTAGAATATCTATTCATACTTAACGCTTCATGGTGAAGTGTTTTCATACCATACTCGGTCGACCAGACTAATGATTCTTAGTCTATATTTGATTATCCATGACTACATGTGGGGATTTGTTTTACACCAGATGTACAAAGAGACAGCTTAACTGTTGTAAGTGATTTTATGTGGATGTAATACTTTTAATACATTATTGTGTTAGTAGATAAATTCATGACTGTGGGGTGTTTATGGTAAACAAGCCTGTATTGTGTAAATAGATATTTTGTCTTGATTTATTATAAACTTTAATATTGATTTTATTGTAGTAAGCAAGCTGATAATAACAATTCTGTATGTATTACTGGTTTCTAATAATATTTAATTATGCTGATATTATGGGTGTGGATTTATTTCCTAATGGTAATAAATTGTACTAAAGGATTCTCTGACTATAATTACTATTAACTAGATAACTGTACCTCAGGTAAGGTATAAAATTAGTACTAAATGACAAGTATGAGTTATGTATTTTACTCATATTTAGAAAGGAAGTTGTCCTGGCGATAAGGTTTGTATGTGTGTTGTTTGTTCATGTTATATTGACTAGACAAGTTCAGACAGGGTTAATATTAGTGAATATTTACTGGATTGATATTTAATATACACGTTTTGAATATTTTATGGGAATAGTATGGAGATATACAAGTAGTAAAATATAATATTAGTATTTTATAAATTTAATTATTGAGTTATATGTTTATGTCGGACTGTATCCAAAGAGATATGATCCTATTAATATCAAGTTAGGACAATTACTTTAAATATTAATAAAGCAAACATTAACACTGATTATTCACTTCTTTAATAAATTTACATTAGAGGTTAGGAATCAAATAGATAGCATATTGGGAAAATCTTCACCACACATGTATTTGAGGAATGTTCTTGATAATTAGTACTGTATGTATATATTATTGCAAGTACAAATGCAATAAGAATGTTAAACTTCTAATCTTTTGTTCATTCTTGAATTTGAAAGTAAGCTTGGCTACTGATATGAATATAAAACTGCAGCATTACTGGATACTATTAATTATTTCTGGTGTAAACCATGATTATTTATATTACTGATAATTTAGTTATATATTACGGTTGATATATGATGATTTTATATTTAATTATATTAAACAAATACAAGTAAACAAATGCTAGTATTTGTTACGTTGACAGTTGTGATAGATAAAAAATCAATTCAATACATCAATACGTCATTCAATACGTCATTAATGTGACAGATGTCAAACAAAAGGAAATTATACACGTTATGATTCTATATCTATATAGAAAATTTATATAATTTTCTGTTATTTTATAATAACTGTAGGGGAAATATTGGAATTATTTATATGAGAAATTTCACTTAAATGATATGATAATTATTTAAAGACCTAATTTCTTAGGGATTTAATCATGATGATTTAAACACTAAAACACTTGTTTATCTGAGAAATCCTCTTAGTAAATAGGTTTACTAAGACACTAAAAGGAAGTAGATATAGTATAGCTATAGTACAGCTACAATAATTGTATGAGACTTACTGTCCTTTCTATACAAATATATATTTAATCTATATCTTTCACATTATAATTATGCAATATATTGCCTCTACTACTACAACATACACAAATAGGACTTATTGTCCTTCCTATATACCTATATATAATAATTGACCTGGCACTTTAATGTGTAATTTATCAGTACTTACGTCAACAACCAATTAGGACTTATAGTCCTCTCTATAAAGCTACATAATTATTTAATCTGATTCTTTCACAATGTGATTAATCAAATCTCTACAAATATTACAAAAGATCTCTATTACTCTCAACACAATAATAGCTTGTTGGACTTAGTGTCCTCAAACTTATAGAAAACCCAACTGGTTATTTCACGAGACGTTGTTAACTTGTGATTAATCAGTGTCTTTTAAAGGACTTATAGTTCCTTTAGATATATCTCTCTGAATAAATAATTGGTTAATTCACAATGTGGTTAATCAACAATAATATTATATATAATTGACTGGACTTATAGTTCATTCAAACTCATTACTTTTAGTAGCTCTCGACCTATGGGTTGGACTACTCGTTCTTAGGCTCTGGCCTAATCAACAGATGTAACTTGAACCTTGAGTATTCTTGGTATTAAGTAAATAATATTAAATTGACAATGCTATGTTATGATATAGCAATTATCAACATTATATGGCTTGGCCAATTCCGGGGTGTGGAAGGTATCCCCTATCACACAAATCTTCATCTCTATCGGACTGTCTTCACAGGTGATCTCTAATGTCACATTATAGGGCCGAAGGGTTATGTCCCATCAAAGTAGGTTCTGGTGTCTGGGTGATCTCGCTTCTTGGTCTGATCTCTTGTGGAGCCGAAGGGAAACCCCCATTGAGTAAGCTCGTAACAGGGTGACGCTGGGAAACAATTTCGTACTGTTAGTGGGTGATCTCTATGTCGCCATATAGGACTGAAAGGGTCATCGCCCATGAGTAATAGTGTCGGAGTGATCCTGGGATTTCCGATCCTTTTGCCTCTCATGGAAGCATCGTGGGGCTGGTGGAGCCACTGTAATGTTGAAGTAAATGTACTTATGTTTGGTTTGGAACTGAGAATACTCATTCCCTTATTACCATCACATTAATAAATAGTAATCTTCCCTACCTTTTAGGAGGAAGAGTTATAGATAGTTGAAAGTCTTCCACTGGTCCCGACCGTGTCTCTCCATTTTTTTATTATTACAGTTGTTCTGTAATTTACTATTAAATTAACATAACTTCCTAGTTACATGAATTATAGTATAATTCATTAATTATTCTTAATCCTTAAAGATTTATCAATCATCTTCATAATTTAACTCCTGTCATATACCAATTAAAGAACCTTTTGGTTATTACACACACAACGGGTCCTACATTACTAGACGATCACACATTTATTTATCTGGCCAAATGATCAAGTGTTCTACTATAAGATCTGTTCAATATTATGTGTTTAATGTAAAGGTTTATATGATTCATAGGTTGTTTGGGGTGTTTAAGACAATATAGGTATGGGGTTATATTGAGGGTGTTAGGCCTTTCTTTATGGTAGATTTTCATTATATTTTCATAGATTTCATTAGGTAAAGCCTTCGTAGGCTTTTCTTAGGCTTTGTAGGTTTTCCACGTGTAGGTTAGTTTAGAGGGTAGTTATCTATAAGGGGTGCAAAAAGGAGGGGACCATCACAATCTACGCAGAGGATCCAATAAGGATATTTTTGAACAAAGACTTTTTAATTATTTGTTAAGCCAACAAAACCAGCTTTAGTGACAAGCTACTATATCTCATAATACTTATCGTTGTTATATTACATATATAATACATTACACACACACATATATATATATATATATATATATATATATATATATATATATATATATATATATATATATATATATATATATATATATATATATATATATATATATATATATATTGTATTATTAAATATTCTTCACCACATCTGCTCATCATACGGTTTCTGTTTTTTCCCTAATAGTTAGCTGGTAGAGAATGTCATTCAATTCATTAAACTCGCCATTTTTATAAACTTTTATTGTGCAATAAAAAATAAATAAAATAATAGTAAACTAGGCCCCTTTATTACCGGGTTTGTTAACAATATCGGCATAGTTGAAGAATACTGATGGATATATATATCGTCATAGTCGTAGAATAGTGACGACTCTTTATATGTAATCTTCGTCAAATCCGTCAGTATTCTACGACTATGCCGATATGTAATATTTGTCAGATCCGTCAGTATTCTACGACTATGACGATATGTTTGTCAAATCAAAGAACTGCAAATTAGCGTCAATATAATTAATAATATTAAGGAATTCGACTAATATATGATAGGTATATTGTTTAACTCGACTCAACTTAATTCAGTTTTAAACTAGTGACAGTTTATGACAGGACTGACATTAACAAGAGACAAAAGATTACTACTACATCAAAGAAAGAAACCCTTTTTTTATAATCTAAATTCCGCGATACCATTTAGTAGTGAAGGAATACTATTATATATTGTTAACCAAATATATTTCAGATCAACGTTCATAAAATTATAATCGGATTCATTTAAGTAAGTTCGTCTAATTTTTCAATTTTATAACTACTATAAGTAGACCTAATTTATTTTAACACAAATTTGGCAATAAACCATACATCTTGTTTCATGGTAAACGGCCACTGTAGCCTATGGACGCCAACAACTGATGTATGTGTGTTGACTAACCCGGAAGAAACCTTAACACACCCTTTTTGAACTTTAAACTGTAGTATGAATATCTACGATATCTCGACTTACGCATAGTCTAAACGTTTCCGGGAGATAACTCCTTTGAAACCGAACTGTACGCGACCATTTAGATTCTAGCATGTGCAAATGAATTACTTAATTTTGAATGATTTACAAATCCATTTCAACACTGAAAATAATATACATAAAAATAAGGATCTATTTTGTAAAAGTAGCTTAAAATTATGTACGAATTAATACGAACTAATCTAATTACTTAAAACAGATCCCTGAGCCTAGTATGTGTGATTATATTTATTTATGTAAAGTGTTTTTAAAAGATTGTTAAATATTTGCAGTACAATTACAAATGTATTTTTTTTTGTCAATTGACAATATCTTAAATTAGCCTATACGATATTTTTTTTATATATGGGTATTCACTAAAGAATAAAGAAACATATATGTATAATTAAAATTAAGTAAATTTACTTACTTTTTCACCACGTAGTCCATCGCGTCCTGGGAGACCTGGCTCACCCTGCACATATAATAAATTACAAGTAAAATTTAAAAATTTCATTTAGTTATATTTAAACAAATTTTGTTTATAGATTTAAACAAATTTTGTATGAAAATGATTATTAACATTATCGGTAAGTAATAAGAGGTAAACACAAACACTATTTTATTTTATTATACATAACATAAAGAATTATACATATTATATTTAAAAAAAAAAACAAAAAAGAGAAAGGGACAAGACCAAGAAATATCTAACTATATGGGATAGATGAAGAAAACACTACGTATCGTGTTCTATAGAGAGATCAAAGATATGGAATAGAGCTCGCTGGAAGAGAATGCATGAATTATTTGCACCGACAAGAGAAAACTTTAAATAAAAAGAGAGAGAGAGAACAAAACATAATATAACATAAAGAGCAAAACAGAAATTCTGTTGTGATTAATCTTTTTTTTTATCTTTTTTTAGCACAACATGTGATTACATTATTCTGAACGAACACAGGAAAAAATTACTCCATGAATACGATTAATTGAAAAGAGAAATATTTTCCTTCAACAGTTGACCGCATTATGCTGGCTTACTAAATACTTTTTTTACGATACGTGGAAGTATCCGAGATTATAGAATGAAGAAAATATGTATATAATTTGTAGCAAAATATTTTATGTATGTATTAAATACATTGTATTCTGTTGTACAAAATATTACAGTGTCTTATTCTCTTTTTTTTTTAATCCATGTACAACCATATCTTCTTCAATGAAGAAAGAAGAAAGAGAGAAGCCTATAGGGTACTTTATCCTAATATATGGAATAAAGAAATATATGTATAACTAAAATTAAGTAAATAATTAATAACGCTTACTATAGGACCTGGTAATCCATCTCTTCCTGAGATACCTCTCTCACCCTGCAAATACAATGAATTACCATTTAAATTCATAGCCACATCATATATAATTAAATAAAACAGTAAGTGTTTGATAATAAATAATTTATTTCTTTTATAATATGATTAAAAGATTGTGAATTATGTAATTAATTTAATAAGTGTTATCGTTAAATAATAAAAGATGAATACAATTATTACGAGTACTTTAAATATTTTATTACAACCCTATTCAATATTAAGTATTTCAGCAATTTGGCACACTTTTATTAAGTTTATTTATATATATTGAATATAAAGAGTAAATAAAAAAAATATATAGCGGTTCATCTGTAACAAAATATTGTCTCTGTATGTTATCTACGTTATATTCTGTTGTATAAAATATTAAAGTATTCTATCCCCTTTTACTTCAATATATCGAATATGGATTTCTCACTCCTATCTTCTTGAATAAGAAATATAAAAATCTTTCAAAATCATTATCACAACTATTAGAACTAATTTCTTGATTTAAATGTTTTATCTAAGTAAATTTATTTCAACTCTGAAAAGACAAAAAAAAATATAAAAATCTTTAAAAGTATGGAAAATCATTATTACAACCATCTACCATGTAATAACTTTCTCATTAGATACCATGAAAGAAATTTGTGAACATACTATGTTCACAAATTTCTTAATAACGTATAACATTTTTTATATAAAATATAATTACAAATGTGGTTTTAAAAAGTTTATTGAATTTTTGTACAATTCCAAATTAAATTATATGTGTATATATGTATATATTCTTTATTGCACTAAAACATACAGTACCAATAATAAATTAATAACAATGTTAGCAAAGGCGAACTTATCTCTAAAAAAGATTTCTTCTAGTCAACCTAAGACAGTAACATAGCAAGTAGTGAGTGGGCAGTAGTAGTGCAAAACAGAAATTAAAATAAATGTTTATATTAAATTAAATATTATAATTTTGTACATAGACTGACCATATCTTAAATCAGCTTATAGGGTAGTATCATCCTAATACATGGAAGAAAGAAACACATGCCTACACATTAGAAACATATTACAAATAATTAAAATTAATTAATTACTCGTATATTTACTTTAAGGCCTGATTGTAAAAAATAAGTATTAATTCCTAAATTAGCTAGCTTATTTGGCCTAAAGCATGTTTATCCTAACCAAGGAAATAGGAAACGCATAATGTTGTATTTGCTGTACAACAAACAACCACTAAGTTAGATGAGCTACAATTGGAATGTCTGCGACATCCACCGTACTCCCCGGACCTTGCTCCAACAGATTACCATTTTTTTTCAAATTTGGACAACTTTTTACATGGAAAAAAATTCAACTCCGATGCAGCAGTCAAAACCGCTTTCAAAGAGTTTATTGATTCTTGCCCCCGTGGTCTTTTTAGTAAAAGGATCAATGAACTACCTCTGAGATGATAAAAGTGCATAGGTAACAACGGTACATGCTTTGATTAATTAAATATATTTTACAAAAAAAAATTACTTTATATTTCTCTCGTACAAAACGCCAATTTCATATGTAAGGACTTAATACTTACTAATTATACGTATTAAAATATTAAGTAAATTTACTTACTTTTTCACCACGTAGTCCATCGCGTCCTGGGGGACCTGGCTTACCCTGCACATATAATTAATTACAAGTAAAACTTCATAGCATTATATATATATATATATATATATATATATATATATATATATATATCATAATATAATTATATATATATATATATATATATATATATATATATATATATATATATATATATATATATATATATATATATATATATAATTATCTTATTCTCTCTCTCTCTCTTCATATTGCTTTGATTTTTCAATTGAGTAGGTAATTTACTTATTTACGTCTGTTTATTTAATGATAAATATTTTCTATTTATTTATAACAATTTTGCTGATAATATACACAGTCCAGCCATAAGTTCTGTTAAAAAGAAAATGCATTTTTTTTATGAAGTAATGTAATCTCATGTGGTATTCGATAGAAGAAGTGTTGTTGTATCTGTTGATAGTACGATATACGAAGATACGACTGATTTTTTTGAAGTGTCTGGAATATAACCGATGGCTCCATACCCACTTTGTACAACGCGATCACTGCAATACTATTTTATTTTAACACCTCATTCCATATTGTAATTTGATAATAAACACGCAAAAATATATGAAATGGCGCGAAATCGAAAGAAGTTTTTAAAATAATAAACGAGTTTCAAATTCAAAATAATAACAAGTTGAAAAAAGAAAAGTAAACAGTATTTATAGCCAGACAGACAGACACATATTTGTTTTCCAAATCAAATAAAATATTAATTAATTATTTACATTATCAACTTTCAGAATTTCACGCTGTATGTTTTATAAAATATTGACGCGAAAATTAAGGTAAACTTTCATAACTTGCCTTTTATAACGACTTTTGTACAAAACCTTCATCTCAGAATTTTCATCTATTACAAAAAAACTTACTATTGGTCCTCGGTCACCAGGTACTCCAATATCGCCCTGAAATTAAAAACAACAATCTGTATGACATATATAATGTCTTATATATGTACTACTACAATAACCGTTTACCATCAGACGGGTAATATATTTCTATACTATTTTTGTGGCATATGCAAAAAAGAATCATCCAGATCTCACTCGTACCTTATTGCCTTTTTCTGCCGAAAGAGTCACTTGAAAATTTTATAAATATACATAAATAAAAGTAGATTTTATAACATCCATTCACTGACATTAATAATTTAATTAATTATATCTCAACTGATGTTATTGATGAGCTAAATACCTCATTTTTTTTTAATATTTGAAATGTATAGAAATACTAGATTGCCCACATGACCGGCATATATTGACTGATCGGTATAAATATGCTATTTTCCATTCAAAATTAAGTACCTACTAACCTTCATACTAAACAGTATACGAGTAAGTGTGATGTTTGTGGGTACATTACTAATATGTGACAATTATAAAATGTGTACCTACCTCTCAACGAGGATTTGTCAGTCTGTTGCCGGCATTAAAACGTATAGCTTATTAACTGTATATATTTAAAACTATATTCCTAAACAGAATAAGGATATAGGTATTTAAACATCAATTTTTTTTATGTTGTTAATTTGAAAGTATATTATGGGGTTTTGCAAAAAGGGCATATTTAGGTTTCTTTAGGATCAACAATGCATACATGACAAGCCTGGTGTTGCAGGCATACATAGGCTATAGTGGCCTAATCCTATCAGACGGACTATATACTTGTCTACCATTCTTATGTTATAAAAAAATATTACTAATTATATTTTGTGTAAACTGTGGAAAAATTAGAAGTCAAAGAAATATTTAAGCAAAGATAAATATTTGGTTTACCGTTGCCGAAGGACATTTACCTGAAAGAAAAAAAAGAATAAAAAATATTGGGCAATAATTTCTAAATACTTCGATTTCACTTTGTATTTATAAAAAATTGTCTTGTTCTTAGGTGAATTCTTTAATTGTTATGCGTATAAAAAAGACATACGTACAAATGTAAGGATTACCCTTTGGCAGTCAAGTGTAATGCTAAGGAATTTTTTTTAATGGCTATTCATTAATTAATAGAATTGTAGCCCGACCTGCACTACGAGTTTTCCCTGACAAAGCACCATTGAGCGATGATAGGAAACGACGAAATAAGGATAGTTGGCCCATATTGTAGAATTCACCGGGAACGAAACACGATGGTTTTTAAAGGTAACCATGGGGGGAGGAAGGAACGTGACAAGGTATATTAGTAACAATAAGGACTAACTCTCCATTACTTATAAAAATAATCGCTCTCTACTTTATACGGTTTACCTATACGAATTATTTCTCACTTACTCAATTTTATAGCACATACGTTGGCCCCTAAGTCTGCTGTCTGAAAATAGACATAAAAGAGGTGTAATTATATATAAAACAATATATCTCCACTTGCGTCTATCTATTATTTACCTATATTATAAAAAAATAAATTTTAGCAAATATCTCAATCATCATATCAGCCGTTAACTGTCTGTTGCTGAACATAGACCTGTCCCATAAGGAAGATTTTGCTGGTAATTGCCATGCTTGGCAGGCGGATTGACAACCGCAGTTAGGCTTTTTTTTATACGACTTAGAATGGCAAACAAGACTGACGAAAAGTGGTAACCGTCGCCTATAGAGCAGTACCATGAGCAGTACCATAGACATAAGAGAGTATACTGTTTCGCTCATGATACCCCGCATGTGTTGCCATTCCTGAGGACTCAGGTGATTCCTCTGTACCCTGTAAATTCACGCGATATCCCACCCTTCAAACCGAAACACAGCCATGCAAACACAACTACTTCACGGGAGAAACATGAATGGGACAGAGGTACCCAAGCAATCGACTTTTGTACAAAGTCTCTCTCTGCTTTTGGTAATATTTTAAGAGGGATGCTGCTGCCTTATTATAAAGCTCTTATTATAAGTCAAATATGGTGATCACGTGTTATTACTGTCCATGTATGTATGTGTGAAATTCTTTGTCATTTTTAATAATTAGTTCAATTTATTTTTTCTTATATATGATACTCGTATAATTTCGTCTGAATTAATTTAGATTACACTATTGCTCTTTCCGAAATATTACAGTAATAAATTTATCAAAACACAAAAATTAAAAAGATCACACTTAGACGAAGTGCGAAGAGCGGCCTCATAGATAAAAGCAATCCATTCCCAACAATCTTTGAATGAAGAAAAGTAATTAACTATTATAATTATATTAAAATAAATTTAAGTACGTAAGTATAATACAGGAAAAAGCATACTTATTATGTAGATTTAAAACCTACCGCAGTCATTGATTTTGGCGGTGTTAATATGTCGCACATTGTTACAGCTGAAAAAGAAATTAAAAACATAGAAAAATAACATTATTTTTATGGATTTTTTAAATGTTATTCCTCTAATTATTAAGATTATATTATTGTTATGGAGAAAGTAAGAACCATAAACTACATAGAAATGCTTACTAGCATTTTAATAAAATAAATAATGTATAATTGAATATAACTTTCATTTGTACTTAACTCCCAAGTAAATATTCATTCAATGTAATTAACTAATATCTCATTAATAATACTAATTTATAATCTTTCATTAATATCATAAGAATACCGTTACTAATATTATAAATTTAAAAATGATTTTGTATAAATTCTGCGCTTCTAGATTCTTTTGGGTGAAAATTTTATGTTCTTGGAATTGTGGGGAAATAAAGTGTGGAAGAAAAATAAAATAGGCGCGGTGTAATTCTGTTGATAATTTTGCTATATATAAATTGCATATTAATATATAAATCCATAGGATTGATATATTTCAAGAAAGGTAGCGACATGAGGTGGAGAAATCCGCGTAGAAAAAAGTTCGTAATTTGTATAGTGGTTAAATGATAAAATATTTTTTGCCATTAAAGTTTGTAATTAGATAGATATCGTATGTAAAGAATGTTTGACATTTAGATAATAATAAAAAATCGCATCCAGTTGCACTGATCTTTCTACTAAATAAGCTAAGCAAGATATTTTAATAAATTAAAAAAATTACGTACCGACATAAATTAATATAAAAAATAACAATTTCAATGTATTGTCTTCCATCATGGCAAAATTACTACTATAAGTATTCAATTTTGTATTATTGTTATTTACCTGGTTTATTTTAGTAATTTTCCTTATGCCTCAATTTCCTCAACACTCATAATTGTATTGTATGTATGCCAATTATAAAAGTAATATGCCGAATTTTATAACATATAGTTGATCCATTAAACTGTCCTGAAGTAATAAACATACTCACTTTCCTATTTGTAACACTAATGAGAATATATACCTAAAACAAACTCGTTCGTATATGCTTTTAAAATAAAATTATTTATACGATTACAAATGTTAGGAATACAAGGAAAATAATAGGTTATTATAAATAGCATTGAATCATTAGCTATTTTTATAAATAAATAAAGTTAACATTTCGACCAGAAAACATTATTTTAGCCCTACTGCCATCTGTCGGGACACCATAATATTAAGCTAATCCTTCAAGTTGGGGGGGAAAGGGATTGTTAGTAATGGAGACAGAGAATACCATTGCTAGCAATATACCCAACCAGGCCGACCTCCTCGCGGTTCTCTCTGGAAACTATCATGGTTAATTCCTGATGAATTCATCATGATGGGCTAATTGACCTGTTTTCATTCTCATCTATCACCCTTCACTGGTGCTCCGCCAGCGTATCCCGTTAGCGCAAGCGGGGTTACTATACCATTTTCACCCATCAAAAAAAATCCTTTAAGTTGAAGCAAAATAGTACACATTTATGAACTATCATTATAATTACTTGATAAGAATGTATATATATATATATATAAACACTAACTAATTCGGTAAATATTTTGCTCCTTACCGTCACCTAATCATAAACAACCATGTTGAAGTAAACAAAACACATTAAAAAAAATCACTAAAACAGTTTTATAGGTTTTGTAAATAAGCGTATGCGTAAACGAATACTATGACATAGAAATTTTAATACAATATAAAAATGTCATTTCTCTCTTAAATGATATGTTAATTATTGATATTGATTCATATTTTAATAATATTTTTAATATTTAACTACTTATTACAAATATTTAGAAATTAATTTTAATATTCATAATTTTATATTGACGATAAAAATAAGTTCATTAAAATAAATTGATGGGGGCATCTGTTAAAAGCTTTGTGAACTACGACTTAATATTTAATTTCAGAATCTGCTTCTTTTCAGTGCTTTATTTAATTATGCGTGCTTCATATTCTGTAATAATTTATCTTTAGTATATTACAACAGATGGCGTAGAAGAAAAAAATCTAAGTTCTTTGCATATCAGAAGATAATAGCGTAATAGTACAAATTTGAGAAACATGATTCATATAAAAATCATATATATACTAAAAAATGTAATAAAAAAGAAGTTTAACGCGACATCTGTTCACTGTTTTGCGAACTAATTCCATTCAGTATTTCAATAAAATCTTGCTTGAGCGTCTTCTGTTGGAAACGAATAAATTTATTTATTCTAACAAATTTTTGTGCACACTAAGAAGAAGAAGAAGGTAAGAATTTATTCTTAAAATGCTATAGAGATGGCGCAGAAAGAATATTCTAAGTAATTTAAACGGTATTCTAATTACCCCTAACTAGCTTTAACTCGAAGCTTTTATCGCGTCAGTGAGCAAAAAAGTTTTTGTTTACATGATATTTCTAAATCATACTCTAACGACAGTTCTAAATTCAGATATAGAGGTAGATATTTTTTATCTTAATTCCTTTATAAATAACCAACTGGGGGGAAAGGGATTTTTAGTAATGGAGACTGAGAATTCCATTGCTAGCAATATAGCCAACCAGGTCGACCTCCTCGTTCCCCCTGGAAACTATCATGGTTAATTCCTGATGAATTCATCATGATGGAATGACCTGTTTTCATTCTCATCTATCACCCTTCACTGGTGCTCCGCCAGCGTATCCCGTTAGCGCAAGCGGGGTTATCATACCATTTTCACCCATCAAAAAAAATACCCAACTACCTATCACGTTTAAGTAAATGGTATGGCAAAAACATTAATGGCAGTTGGAGATTGACGGCTAATAGTGAAGGTTGTGGAACTTCTGTTAGTAATAGTGGTGTCTTCGAGTGTTGGCAGTTACACACGTACTTATGGTAGCAAAGTTAAAGAAAATAATTTTAGTTAAATAATCAGTGGTATGGACTTCCGCAAGATAACACTTAGTTCGGTAAAATAAAAACCCGTAAAAATGTAATGGTGGGGTAAAATAAAATTCGAATCTCTGACCTCCCACGGGAAGTGGGTAGATGCGCTAAAAGGATTTACTTTTAAAATATAACACGGTCCATTTGACACAGACCGCACTCACAAGAGCACTTAGGGCATATTGAATCGGTTCGAATGGTTAAGTAATATGACCATGTAAGAAACTATGTGTCGACTGTAAATTTAAATCTCTGTTAAGACAACTTATGTACGAGTATATGCGCCGTGTGGTGCCAGCATAGAATGGACCACCTTTCCTTTCCCGTAGGTGTCATAAGAGGCGACTAAGGGAGCTTAATGGTCGATAGATGGACAGCAGCGTTCCGCTTTAAAAGTTACCAAAGACTAACTGCGGTTGCCAATCCGCCTGCCATTACACTACAATCCCCCCCCCCCTCCTAGTGATATAGGCCTATTTTTACCAGTGGACAGTTTTTTTTTTAATGGATTCTAATGGTATGGTAATTCTATCACTGGTGCCCCGCTAGTGTATACCGTTATCGCAGTCGGGGCACCAGTGATAGATGATAGGTGAGGATGAAAAGGCAGGTCAGTTAGCCCATCGTGATGAATACACTTGGAATTCAGCACAATGGTTTCCAGGGAGGACCACGGGGAGGTCGACCTGTTAGGGTATATTATTAGCAATGGAACTGATAATCCGCAATACTAACAATCCCTTCTCCCTTCACCAGTGGACAGTTAACGGCTAATATGATGATGATGATTAATGTACTAAATAAGTGGATACCTAATTAATGTTTCTTGTATATTTCTTAAATCCCATGTCATTTAAAATATTCGAGTACCTTAATAAAATTTTGTAAATTTTGTTTGTAACTTTCACTAACCTGAGAAATAATTTAAGGCGAGGTCTTCATCACTCTCGAAAAGACTCAGGTAGGAGTTCTCAAGGCGAGCCCTTTTGCCTTGCCACCAACTTCGGAGGCGATTACCCTCTGGTCGCGGGCATTAGCACCAATATAATTAGCTGTCTGGTATTTCGGAGAAGTTTGTCTCGATAAACTAGTGTCTAGTATTTATATATAGAATTTTGTTACATTGATACAGTGGCAATACCTCCAAAAGTATATTTTAAGTATATCCTCGTACATACATGTTTTCATCGACTTTTCAATTAAGGATTAATTTCCCAGGAAAGAAAAAAAAATAATATCACTAACTAAAACTGTTAGTAGATGTTTGACACTTTTATAAATAACGATTGAAACTTTTTACTTTTTAATAACTTAACTACAAGTGCCATCTGTTTGAGAAATATTACAAGTTGGAAATTAATCATTGTTTTAAACTTGTCAAGATTCAAATTAAGTTGGAGCCACTGTCATTGGCACTCGGAATGACTGGAGAATATTTATTAGAAGGTGAATAGCTCGAGGAGACACCGTCAAGTTCCTGAGGAAATAATAAAGGGTCGAAGGGAATTTCCAATATAAATTTAAAGAGCTTCCCGCTGCCTTGGTATGGTTTGTGAAAATTAGCACTCGAGTTGTTTCATTAATTTGATATCACTGTTTATTACTCAACTGTCGAAGAAGGGTAAATAAATTATTTTTGGTTATATACTAGGTAGAATAGTAATCATTAGCATGTTAGTTTTGGAAGAGTTCTATCGGTGAAAATGAATAAATTTCATTTAAAAAAAAAGTTAATAAAAAAATGGGGTATTTTGTTATAGATACAATATAAAATTAATATGGTGTCAAATTTAAGTTGGGTATTGGTAACTTAATGGTTAGCTAGCTTAAAGTATATTGAAAGCTCAAAAAGTAAACAGTATACATTCTTACAGTGCAATACATAATAAATAGATGTATCTGTCGTGTCTATTTCTTATCAGCTTTACTTATAACTTTGAATTAACCACCTTGCATGTACTTGGTTTTAGTATATTTGTACAGCTATTCTTACTAATATTATAAATATGGAAATTAGTTTGTTTTGTTTATTATTTTATAGCGCCTTAATGGTTTAACCAATCATTACCAGAGAGAGACTTTGTACAAAAGTCGAATGTTTGGGTATCTCTGTCCCATTCGTGTTTCAACCGTAAAGCAGTTATGTTTGCATGGCTGTGTTTTGGTTTGAAGGGTGAGATATGGCGTGAATTTACAAGGTACAGAGGAATAACACCTGAGTCCTCAGGAATGGCAACGTATGAGGGGTATTATGGGCGAAACAGTATACTCTGTTATGTCCATGGTACTGCTCATGTCTATAGGCGACGGTTACCACTTTCCATCAGATGGACCATCAGCTTTTTTGCCATTCTAAGTAGTATAAAAAAAAGATATATACATACTATATGGGATGGAGAAAGATATAGGCTATATAAGCTTTATATACTTTTTATCTCGGGATATTTATCACAATAGGCTAATTAACCTGATTTCATCTTCACCTATCACCGCTCACCGGTGCTCCAATAGCACAGACGGGGTTACTATTTCATTATCATTCATTAAGAACTTTTCATTCCAGTCAGTCATAAGGCAGTCACGCGAGTGAAGTCACTAGTAAAAACCAATATATTTACAATTATTGACATTAAATAGACTTGTTTATATAACTAGATACAAAAGCAATGTATGCTTGTGACACTTTCTACCCGCAGGCCGCTAAAAAGTTTAATGTGAACAGAAACGTGTTAAACTTACAAAAGTACTTTGGTATGTAGTTAATGTTGATTCCAGTATAAAGTTTTTAGTGTGTCTGTTATAAATTGTAGCCTTTTAATCGACTGTGTTATAGAAGTATTATAATTTAGTTAAGGATTACATGTCTATTCAGCAATACCCCATCTATCGCTGGTGTTACATAACTGTTGAAAATGGAATGTTTTCTTTTCGTTTGATTGCGTTCATGGGCCATATTACTGTGTGCACAGGACGATTTTTTTAAACAATATTTTTTAATTAAATTATCATAATTTATTTTCTCATCAAATAATTCAATTTTATTACAACCAAATT